CTACTAACACCTCAAACTGTCCGGACAGAAAGCTTATTCTGAGGAAAGGATATGACAGAATGGCTTGGGCTTATACAAAGCTCTAACTCATGAAACTATTACTGTTATCTATTATTAAATCATACCCTGATTCTATGGAATCACCAGTACTCCCCCCACAAACACACTGTGCAGGGTGTGATATGCTACCCTATTCGTTTGCATCTTCTTAATTTCTCTCTCTCTGCCGCTATCTCTCTCTCCCCTTTTATCTATGTTCTTGCTGTAAAATCCTACATCTAAAAGTGATTTTTTTAAAATTGTTACTAATGTCTTCCAGGCTTGTCCATCAAAATCCAAGTCTACAACCTCCCTTCATTCCCCCGCTCTCCATCCAAACATTCCTCCAAAGCTCATCTATCTAAATACTTAAACACACACAGCAGCAGAACTTTTGCGGGTGGTTTCTTTTCTGCTGAACTCTAGTCTTAGGCTGTTTTGTAGTGTGGGCCATTGCTGTTACAGTGGAACTGGACCTTTTGTTAGAAATCAGCCTTCTTTACCACTGCTTTCATACGATATATTATATTATCCACTACAGTTCTAGGTTTGTCTTCAACCAAATGAAGATACTGCTTTGCTTCCTGTTTATTGATAGCATAACCTTCTATAGGTTACTAATGCATATGCAAAATAATCTCCCATGCGGGGAGGACAACCTCCTTGCAGGGTTGTTTCCTGATTGGGTAATAAAACATTCAGACCTTGATTATTTATTTATTTATTTATTTGCTTGTTTGTTTGTTTACCTTTTTCTCATAGCACATATATATTTTAGTAACAGCTATTTGGATATAAATACAGTTCATTTGAAGTGTTTAAATAAAAAAAGGATTCTATTCAAATTAGCATGACTTGGCTGTACTACTTTACTTCCTACCACAATCCTTTACCAATTTAAAACAATTATTTAATCTAATCTAAGTAATTAATCGAGCTCCTCCAAAAAAATAAATAAATAAATAAATAAATAAAAAAATAAAAACATACAATAACTATTCCACCCTTTTTGGGATTATGAGTTATTTTGTATTTTGGTTATGCAACATTTTGCATTAAAAAGCCAAAGTATGCTTTATTTATGTTTTAGTGACTACTTTATTTAACAGAATATTAATCAATCCCACACCAGACTTGTAAGGTTTTTTACAAAAAATGTCACATATACTGTTTTTCGTTGCAAGGGCTCAATTAATGTTTTTCTATTCCTGTGTATTTTATATGCAAACTGTCTATAATATGTATCTGGTCACAGTGTTAAGGCCTTTGCTCACTGAGCAAGATGTATTTGAGCAATTCCTTCAGGCGTCAATATATGAATTTGAGCAAGTGTAAAACTGATAAGTCTTGCACACCAAACACAATTTTTTGGATGCTGAAAATTCAACATTATGTTATTTGCTCTGTTTTTAATTTCTGTGAACTTTTGCAAGCAGTGTGAACTCTCTGACCAATCTCAATCACCTCTGGTGTTGGCATGGTGACAACCAAGCTGACAGTTCAGCTGTGCCCCAGCTTTCAGAGTTGTGTGTGAAAGCACCAAGTTCCAGCTCCTGACTGAGGATGTGAAACTCTCCATGCTCATTTGGCCTTTCCTAAAATTGAGAGTTGCCTACCCACCATCGTTTGCCCATTTTGTTATCTTTGCCGCTTGAAGATGTTCAGCCTGTTTGTCCATTTTGATGCATTGCAAACAACACAAAACTGCAAAACATCACATCACATCCAGTGTGTATAGTTTTGATGTGGAAAAATCACAATTTTCATGATGTTTATTTACATTACAGTGTTTTTAGTGTTTATATCTGTTTTGTTTGTAACATCTGTTCAAAAACGTTTTGGCTTTCACACTCAAGTTTCATTTAATGACATCTTACGCCTTTGCATTTGATGATACTTTAGTGTTCACTGCTATTAAAAGAGACAGAGTTTTTGCACAAGTCATAGTCATGGTGCTTTATTCTCCAGCTGTTGTTGGCCACAATCACACCATGCATAAGCAGAGTTTTCTCTTTACTAACAGCTCCTTCACTACTCTTGTCTATCATCTCTTTCATCTCGCATACATTTACACACCCAGTCCCTGGGCAGTATTTAACCCTGTCCTCCACAACGTGCAGTAAAGGCTAGAGAATGCAAAACCTAAAACTAACAAAGCATTTCTTGAAAATGCTGCAATGCTATGCTTTCTTGCTCCATATATTGCATTATTCTGCAGCATTAAAGAATATCAGTTCCTTGTGGTGTTTCTGAGCACATACCTTTGTAGCTTTGGTGGTGTGTGTAGCATAATGTATGTGTATACCTGGAGGCCAGCAGTGGGCATAAACCGCAGCTCCAACCCCAGGGAAAGCCATGTGACAGGACTCATCACTCACAGGTACAGTGTGTGTCTCCTCTAACTGCTCCATTGCTCTCTGCTCTGCTTCGCTCTGATGCGCTTACAGTGGCAGTGTGGTGAAGTAGGAGCACCTCTATAAGTCTGCCTTTAACTGCCTTCACGTCTTTAACTCTCTCTCTGCCTGAGCTCATTTAAACCCAGTTCAGCACTCAGCACACTTATCGGCCGTTTTATTAGAAACACCTACCAGAACAGTGCATTTTGTAGGTTTACAGTTACAGGCTGTAGCCCATCTATTACTATACAATTTATTAGCCCCCTTCTACCCTGTTTACCAATGAAGAGGGACCACCGCTAGCCAGATATTATTTGGATGGTGGACCATTCTTGGTGCGTGTTGTGATGGAGTGTTACTGGGGTTTTTACACACATCATTGCTAGGTTAAGAGTGGACCATCACCCAAATATTATCCAGCTAAGAGCAGCTTTGTGGTCAGAAACTGGGCTAGAGCAGGGGTGCCAAATCCTGGTCCTGAAGATCTACCACCATGGAGAGTTCAGATCCAACACACCTGGCGCTTATACTGAGGACCAGTATCTCTAACTGTACACCAGCAAGGTGAAAGTACATGAGAAGGGTTTCCAAGATGTGGCCAGTGTGTAAAAAGCCCTGACTGATACAGGGACTGTATCATGGCTGCCATATTGCAGTGGGTAATACTGCTGCCCTCTACATGGTAGACTGGATATCACACAAAAAGTTGGTGGAGATACTACACAAGCACCTAAATACATGTTCTGCTTGATTTACTTAAATTGGAGGAACTTACGGTGGCCGGTTTTGTCATAAATTCGCATTAGAGGCTCAAAAGATGTTTTGCTGAGAGACATACTTTAACACCAGCAGAGACATAAGCCTCGAACACGTGGTGAAAGAATGTTTACTACCAAAATGACACTGTTTAAACTCTTGGGACCAGATGTACTTATATGAGCAGTCACTGAACAAAATATGCTTCTTGTTATCATGTCAGGAGTTCTATTTTCTTAGTAAAACATCTTAGACACATTAGTAAGATAACACCATTGAAGAACGTTTTGGTGAGAAAAAACACTCATTAACAAAACTATCGCTTCATCACTGAATGTTCATTTTCTGTTTTGTTTCTTGTTGATGGTTGCATTACTTCACAGCACCCTGCACGTCATGAGTGAGCAGTTAGTGGGTGGGGCTACACACAGTGCATGTGAAAAGCTGCAGTTTTAGTAAACTGAATGTTAAAGTCAGGCATTGTGGGTGTGTACTGCAGTTGCATCAAGACTCACTTTGTGCTGCGCCTCAGCTCATGTGCACATCTGGTCCAGCCGTGTGTGCTGGATATCTGCAGTAAATTGGCAACAGCAGAATAAGGCATTCCTCTATGCAGAGTGCACAGCTTCAGGTGCTAATAGGTGAGGATTGCTTCTGATCTTTCATTTAATTCTGTTTGTCTTTTTTTCTTTCCTGAAAAGTTTCCTTTTAGTGTTTAGACCTACTGGAGCTTGATTAGTTTAATCTCAGATTGTTTTATTTATTTAAGTGATTATTGATGAGATATGTGGTTTTAATCCAGTATGAATCTGCAGCATTTATAGTTTTTACAGTTCGACGGTAATAATTATCGAGTAATTTTAATCCAGTATGAATCTGCAGCGTGTGTAGTTTTTACAGTCCGACAGTAATAATTGTGGAGTAATTTTAATCCAGTATGAATCTGCAGCGTGTGTAGGTTTCAGGGTCTGACACAAAGAATGTTGGATTGCAATGCAGTATGAATCTACATTGCGTAGTTTTTACAGTCCGACAGTAATAATTATGGAGTAATTTTAATCCAGTATGAATCTTCAGTGTGAATATTTTTTACAGGTTTGACAGTAATAATTGTGGATTGATTTTAACCCTCAATTTGTCATCATTTGACATTTAACTATGTCTCTAGTAATGACTTCATAGTAATGGCTTTTCCTAATTTAATGGGGACATTCAGGTAAACATAAAATTAGCATGATGATTTGTCTTCAGTGCCCTCTACACATTTTGTACTCATCTTGTGTTCATCAGTATTCTTTGGGGTCAGTTTGACTGTTTTAGCTGTAGAAAATATGAGAAATATCAACATTTTACACATTTGTTTGGTTGCTTTGTATGATATTGAGGTAGTGTAACTGACATGAACACATGGGCTATGACCTTTAGTTCAGGTTATTTTGAGCTATCTGTTCAGCCTGATTTATTTATTTTTATTTTATTTTATTTTATTTTTTGAATTCTGGAAAAATAACTAATTCCACTCCAGCAGGGCTTTCTCTGTTGCATTCAGACAAGCATCAAACACCTTGGATATTGCTACTGAAAGCTATTGCTGAATATGTGGTAGAAGGGGAATCACAGGAATCACTTCTTTCTACCTCCCTCTTTCTCTCTCCTTTCATCTCCTGTCTGCTTCCTACTAGAGTGGAGAGACCTTGAGGGACAGCGCTTAATAATTTATATTACAGTAACATAACACACTAGCATACTTCTGTTTAATTACACTTCTCCAACCGCTCTCTATCTCTCTCTCCCTCTCTCTCTCTCTCCCTCTCCCTGCAGATGGGAAATGCCTCTGAAGTCACCTTTGTGTCCACGATATCCAAAGAGTATGATTTTCTCCTGGGGACTGCCTACACCATCTTCGGTAAAGACACCAACATAACATAACATAATACCAGTAGCTATAGCAATAGCATTAGGTTAGTAAAATGGGCTCATTTAACTTAACAATTGTTGCCCAAGAGGACATAAATCCCATCGCCCTGTGAGAGATACCTTCAGATATTTGATTTCATTCTTCTTCTAATAAGCCCATCAGCAAAAACGCTTGGTAACACTATTTAAGTGATTCTTTGTAGATGATTAATAAACTCTTAACAAACTATTAGTAACATATCAGTGAAACATCTGTTAAGTAGCAATAGTGAAGCATTTGAACACACTGAGGTAAATATCCTGAAGCCATACTCTTGATACATTACTTACATTAAGTAGATGTATTGTTAATATGTTACTTTCATTACGCAAAACCTAACCTTACCTAATCTTACCCAAAACCTAACCTTACCCAACCTTACCAAAACCTAACTTTACCTAACCTTACCCAAAACCTAACCTTACTTAACCTTACCCAAACCTAACCTTACCTAACCTTACCAAAACCTACCTTTACCCAACCTTACCAAAACCTAACCTTACGCAACCTTACCAAAACCTAACTTTTCCCAACCTTACCCAAACCTAACCTTACCCAACCTTACCAAAACCTAACCTTACCCAAACCTAACCTTACCTAACCTTACTCTAAAACTAACCTTACCCTACCTTACCAGAACCTAACCTTACCTAACCTTACTCAAACCTAACCTTACCTAACCTTACTCTAAACCTAACCTTACCCAACATTACCAAAACCTCACTCAACCTTACCCAGACATAACCTTATGCAACCTTACCAAAACCTAACCTTACCTAACCTTAACCAAAACCTAACCTTACTCAACCATACCAAAACCTAACCTTACCCAACCTTACCAAAACCTACCTTTACCTAACCTTACCCAAAATCTAACCTTATCCTACCTTACCAAAACCTAACCTTACTCAACCTTACCAACACCTAACCTTACCCAACTTTACCAAAACCTAACCTTACCCAACCTTAACCGAACATAACCTTACCCAACCTTACCAAAACCTAACCTAAATCTGTGAGCAGCAAGTCTATAACATCTTGTTGAGAATGTTTAGATGGTCTGTATAAACCTGTTACGTGATCAGTTCCTCCCAGACTAACATTTACAGATCTGAAGTTGGACACTCCAAATAAAGTGAAAATTTATAAATAAATGGTACTTATAAAGTTAATTTAAAGTTTCTTAATAACCAACTGAATGTATTCACTGCTGCTACATCATTGATATGGTATTGGTGTTACTGAGAGCCAGTTGAGTGTCTATTTCATCTACAAAGGACCCCTCAAAATAAAGTGTCACTAAATGTTTTTGATTACAGTAGTTCTGTTTTAAGCTTGAGGATAAAGAAATGCTGACAAAACCTTCATTTTAGCGATCACCAAAAAACAGTTGCTGTTATCACCTCGATTCAAACAGGGCTGCTGTTACCGAAGGAGCTCTGAGTTTGAAATATAGAAAGTATTTTTTTTCTGGAATTATCACTGAGTAGTGTTGTAAAGACTATGGACACTGTAGATTCATATTGGGTTCAAATCACCAGTAACCCCTCAAATTGTAGAACCTCCTCAGATGAGAATAATTCAGCTTGAATAGGACCACAGAGCTTGAATATTCTACATTCATAAAGACTGATACCAACTGATGACAGCTGTCATGAATGACATGGCATAATGACAGTTTCTTTATCTCTCTCTCTCTCTCTCTCTCTCTCTCTCTCTCTCTCTCTCACAGGTGTGTTCTCTCTGATGGGGAACACCATCTTGCTGCTCGTGGCGTATCGTAAGAAGTCCTCCTTGAAGCCGGCTGAGTTTTTCATCGTAAATCTGTCCATCAGTGACCTGGGCATGACCATCTCCCTCTTTCCTTTGGCCATCCCCTCTGCTTTTGCTCACAGGTGAAGGTCCTTTGCTCAAAAAGCCACTGTTCACCCCTCCATCACTCCTTTTCTCAAAAAATACAAGCAGTTCTCTTTCTATTTCTTCACTCTCTTAACCCTTAGATGTCTACAGTTTTTACTGTCATGTTATTATCAGTTCGTCATTTTCAACGTAAGTTAAAATAACATTTTATTCTTCTATAACTTTGGGCAATTTCTGTTGGTCATGAAATTTGCAAACATTGTAAAAGTTAGTGTTTTCAAAAGATGTAAAAAGAAGAAAAAAAGAAGGTGATCTGATATGACAGTGGTGATTTGTAGCTTTGTAAATGTAAAGAGCTAGTGTCACGGGATGTGGGGGGTTGGGGGGCCCAAAGCAGAACTGGAGTCACTAGTTTATTTATTGCTGTCTTTGTAGTATATGACATTCTTATTAGCATGCAGTGTTAAAGAGAAATAAATATGGTTTGGTGTAACTGTGTGGTGAGATCAGATGCTGGGTTCAAACCAGCGACCTACTCTTTAAAAGGGAAAACTAAAGAAACAGTAAACCACCCTCAAGCCCAAGGGGAAAAACGGACTTAGAAAGTGACTAGTGCACCGCTTGTAGAACCAAGGCTGAGAGCTGAACTTTCCCCAGTCCAGATCACCACCCTCCCTTTATATTATCTTTTCTTTTGTGTTGTCCACTTCAGTGCTTTTTTTTTCACTGTTTTTTTCTTTCTTTCTGTCTTTGTACCCACCTGGGTTAAAGTACTATACCAGTTACCCCTCTACAAAAGTGTAACACTGAGCTGCAGTTTATAGCGTGTGGATCACTCTAACTGATGAAATTACAGTGGCATGCAAAAGGTTGCCAAAAAAAATCTGTTACTGTAAATTACTTAGGTGAGTAAAGGATGACCAGCAGCCAGTTGCACTTGCTGAAGTTCAATCGTAGCCTAGTTTGAACGTAAACTGCCATTACATTCAAGTTTACAAGCTACTAGAATTTGCACCAACATAGCTTTAAGGTATAACTTAAAATTTACACATATTTAACAGTAGGTGTAAGTTCTAATCGATTTGGTCGATGGGAAAACCTTGCAAGAAAATTGCATATCAGTCTCGGTATGTGTCAGCAAGCACTTGTGCAGTATAGATTACACCTGTTTCCGTCACTCGCAGATAAAAAAGATCACAGACCTCCTAGCAGCAGATTTACACAACCCAAACAGAGCCCTGAGTCCTACTTTGTGTCTAGCACTGAGATGTTTTGCTACAGGGTCACTCCAAAACCTGGTAGATGACAATATTCAAGTACACAAGTCAACTGCGTGCAGAGAAATGACAGCAGCTCCCTCAGTGCTCAGGTTGTTTGTGACGTTGACGTAGCTAACATAGCTAACATGACCTTTTTGTCATTCAGCAGATTCAAATAGCGATTACATTAGCCTCAGCTTTGATAAAATGTGATTAACATACTGTGCACAAGAACTCAGTTAGAACATTGGAAAAAAGCAGAAGTAATTAAACACACATACAAGTGATGGACGCTTTGAAAACACTGCTTTATTGTAAAACACAGTCTCTTTCTGAATTATAGCTAATATGACCGACACACCTTAAAGTAAATGTAGCACAAAAAGAGAGAAATTTCACTGTGTTTGGTGATCATGTAATGTTTCCTGTTTATGTCGGGTAGCTTTTACTGTTTGGCTGCAGAGTGAAAATGTCATTCTGTGTGAGTGTTTTAATCTACGATCACTTTATGCTCTACCTGTTAAGATGTAAGTGTCTGTGGTGCAGCTGAAATTCTGTGTGTCATTTTAAACTAACTACTCTCAATGTAAGGTTTAGAACAGACTTTACACTCAAAGTTAAAGATGAAACATTCTTTTCAACATTTTAAGCAATTATTGTAATTCTTTTGTTTTGTACGACTCTAAAGTAGAAAAGAGCACCATGCAAAAGTTTGGCCACCCAAGAGATTTGAGCTGTCAGATAGCTCGTACTAAGGTCTCAGACCCTAATTAGCTTGTTAGGGCTTTGGCTAAGAAAAAGCCAGCTGATGTGAATTTCAAAGCTTTATAAATACTCTGACTTCTTAAACCTCCCTAAAATCAGCAGCCATTAGCTCCTCTAAGCAGCTGCCTAGCACTCTGAAAATTAAAATAATTGATGCCCACAAAGCAGGACAAGGCTAAAAGAAGATAGCAAAGTATTTTCAGTTTGTAATGTAATTAAGCATTGCCAGTTAACAGGGACAGTGGAGGTTAAATTGAGGTCTGGAAGATTGAGCAGACTCTGGAGTGGTGGTGTGCCGTTCTACTGTGCAGCAACACCTGCATAAATATGACCTTCATGGAAGAGTCATCAAAAGAAAACCTTTCCTGCATCCCCACTACAAAATTCAGCATGAGAAGCTAGCAAAGGAACATCTAAACAAGGCTGAAATAATTTGGAAACAAGTCCTATGGACTGATGAAGTTTTGAGCAGAAAATGAACAACTTTGGTAAAGAACGGATGCAGAACTTCATTAAAACATCACCTCTCCAAATTTAAAGCACGGGGGTGGATCAATAATGCTTCGGGCTTGGGGAACATTTCACTAGTAGATGGAAGAAAAGAGTCAATTAAATACCAGCAAATTCTAGAAGCAAAATCACACCATCTTAGCATAGCTTAAGATAAAAAAAGGATGGCTTCTACAACAGGATAATGATCCTAAACACACCTCAAAATCCACAATGACTTGACTACATCAAGAGGTACAAGCTAAAGGCTTTGCAATGGCCCTCGCAGTCCACTGATCTAAACATCATGAAAAATCTGTAGATAGACCTCAAATGAGCATTGCATGCAAGACTGCCCAAGAATCTCACTGAACTAGATGGCTTCTGCAAGAAAGAATGAGTGAAATTCCCCTAAACAAGAATTGAAAGACTGGCTAAAAAAAGTATTACAAGCTGTGGTACTTGTTAAAGGGAATGTTACTAAAAACTGACCATGCAGGGTGCCTGAACTTTTGCTTTGGGCCCGTTTACTGTTTTGCTATTTTGAAACTGTAAAAGATGGAAATAAGTCAATAACTTCTACTCATAACTTCAAGTCTTTCACTGAATATTTTTGAAGGGGCCTAATTAGCCTGTTAGCAGGTCAGGCTATTTCAATGTCATAATCTTTTCATAAAATGAGTAAATGAAGTTCAATATTTGTGTAGCAGAGGGTCACAGGGTTTGCTAGAGCCTATCCTAGCAGTCATTGGGTGGAAGGCAGGAAACACCCTGGACAGGTCGTCAGTCCATCAAACAGCAGACTAACAGACATACACATTCACACCTAAGGGCAATTTAACATCTCCAACTGGCCTGACTGCATGTCTTTGGACTGTGAGAGGAAACCAGAGCACCCGGAGGAAACCCACACAGACACGGGGAGAACATGCAGCTTACACACAGAACAGATCCTGGTCACCTGGCCAGGGAATCAAACATGGACCCCAGTGACCCATGAGGATAAGCAGCTTAGATAATGTGTGTGTGTGTGTACTTCTGTAGCATGTTCTCTTGTGTTTTTACACTAAATATAGCAAGTGATATTATTTTGTAGGTATTATTTTGTAGTATAGGTTGTTAGTGACAAATATTAACATCAATGCGTAAGCGTAAGTCAAATCAGGAACAAATGCAACTGGTCGGCTAAGTAGCTACAGGATGCTACATACATTTTAGTTAGAAAACTTATATTGAATGATAAACTGTGATAAAGTATCTTGCTAGACCAAAACTCTTATTCTTGGTGGGCTTTTGTTATTTACATTTGTGAAAAATACAGACTTATTACTTTTCACCAGACTTTTCACCATTTTAAAACTTTCCGAAAGTCGAGCTAAAGATGTGACTCTATTTCTAGTCAGGCATCATAGTGAACAGTCGAAGCTCACTGATTTTTACGATGCACTGTGGGAACTTTCTGGATTTTGAAAATGAGACACCTTAGGAAATGACCGATTCCCTGGGCAGTGCCCTGACTACTGAAACAAGGGAGCTCTTTGAGACACACCCTATGATTTTGCAAATGTTCCATAGGAACCCATTCATCTTTGGCACCATCTAGTGTCAGAAAAACCCAGAAGACATTATTGAGTGGCAGCTGTCCTCACTAGAAATTTTCTGATATAACTGAGCTTTGCGATGCTATGCCACACTGTGTGATGTGTCCGGTGTGTGGTGGCCTAGAATAAATAACAATAATACTAAAAATGCAAAAAATCTGAAGGATAAGGGAAAGAAAATTTCTCTTTCATTCCTACACCCTGCCGTGTTCATTAATTCATGGTCTTCCATGCTGAGGCTGTTTCAGAGAGATTTTGTATAGTTTGTTTCTGGGACGGACAGACTTTTCCTTTCAGTGGCTTTTTAAAGTCCCATAGGATCAGTGGCAGTGTCTGACAAACAAGTGGAAATAATCTTGGTGGTAAGACGAGACAAAAATTACTGATCTTCATTTTTTCCACTGTGTCCCATTTCCTGTCTTGTTTTATCTTTAAGAGGGTGTTTATTTGATGGATTCTCTCTCTCTCTCTCTCTCTCTCCCTCTCTCTCTCTCTCTCTCTCTCTTTCTCTCTCTCTCTCTCTCTCTCTCTCTCTCTCTCTCTCTCTTCTCTCTCTCTCTCTCTCTCTCTCTCTCTCTCTGCAGGTGGCTCTTCACTGAAACAATTTGTTTATACTATGCATTCTGTGGAGTTCTCTTTGGCCTGTGCAGTCTGAGTACTTTGACCGTTCTCTCGTCTGTCTGCTGGTTTAAAGTCTGCTGCCCCAACTACGGTATTTATACGCACACACATTTCTCCAATTTACCTCTGCATGCTCCGTCCACAAATGTGTTCTGAGTGGTACAAAATTCTGGAAAAAAATCTGGTAAGACTAACAGGGTAGTTTTGGTAAAGCTATACAACACCAACATAAGCACATCATGGCAACTGACACAGACCTACATCAACGTTTATGAGCACTTAGCATTTCAATGAATACTCCAATGTTTAACATTTGTCATAAAGGCTGTGATACTTATGACATAGCTTACTAAGTCAGACTGGTTGCATAAAAGTGAGCATTTTCTGTGGCTATACTCTACAACAGGATAATGATCCTAAACACACCTCAAAATCCACAATGACTTGACTATATCAAGAGGTGCAAGCTGAAGGTTTTGCAATGGCCCTCACAGTCTAATGATCTAAACATCATGAAAAATCTGTAGATAGACCTCAAATGATCATTTCATGCAAGACTGCCCAAGAATCTCACAGAACTAGATGGCTTCTGCAAGGAAGAATGAGTGAAAATCCCCTAAACAAGAACTGACAGACTGGCTATATAGCTTACAAGTCAGGCTGGTTGGATAAAAGTAAGCTTTTCTGTGGCTATTATGTAAACTGAGTTTCATTTTACCATTATATGATTTAAGTTATGTCAAAGCATCATGTCGCTCTGATATGCACTAAGCTTCAAAGTCAGTTATTTGAACATGCTCCGTCATTTCATACAAAAAGTTGTGATGACAACCCAGTAGGTGTTGTGTCAACTTGACATCAAAGTTGATAGAAGACAAATCACAGATGATCTTATGACAGATCACACCTATTGGAATAATCCATTATAATCAAATACATTGATTTAAGTCAGATTCATGCCAAGCTCGTGTATGTGTCATGTCATCTTATTAACACTTTCCTACAGTAAAGTGTTACCAAAATTCTATTCAACCTAATGAGAAACTGTACAGCATGGCAAGTTAACATCACAATACTTATATTTAGAGTGTGCTATTCATTTCAAAGGATATTTGTTTGTACATGCGTAATGTCACAATCTTAGGATACAGCAAATATGTTTGCTTTTTTTTGTTTGTTTGTTTTTTTATCTTGTAAAGAAGATTTTTTGGGGGAGAAGACCTGATAAGAGAATGCTACCGGAATGCATTGTGCCAACAGTAAAGTTTGGAGGAGGAGGGATAATGGGCTGGGGCTTTTTCAGGGTTTGAGCCCCTTAGCTCAGTGTAAGGTAATTTTATTACAACAGCATACAAAGACATTTGTGGAGCTCAAAGCAGTTGGCCATGATGCAGTCATCAACACTGGCTGCCAAACAACAACCATGTTGTTAGCCCATGGATGTAGCGGAAAAGTCCTTAAAAAACTCTAATTATGTAGATGATTTATTCAATGTTTATGCATGTGTAATGATATCCCTATGCCGGTAGTCTTAACCTGCACACTCTAAACATAGAGCTGACTGACAAAAACATTAAGTTGAATGGGATTTTTGCAAGAACAGTGACTAAAATACTTTTGTGTGTGGAGTATGGAACATGTATACTATAAACACTATATGAGATGTATGAGTTACAGGGCATATAAATCCTGTACATTTCTGTAGTATTAGAATATAGGTAGGAGAATTAAATTAGAATTAAAGGAGAAGAGATGACAGTCCAGAGGAGAAGAGATGAGATCTGGAGCTTAAATCTCCATCACAGCTGGATCACGATTCCTCTGTAAAGATCAGTTTATGCTGTCTTGTGGAAGCAAATTCACTTAAAAGAATGGATCAGCAAAAAATCTAATTTGTGCAGGTTTTGTATATTTGGTGTCAGAATTTTGCCTCTTTAGTTTTGCACTGGAGCTATGAGGCTAATGTAGCTAACAATTAATGAAAGCTTAAAGCCCACCAGTAAGCACTGTGCTAACTGCATGCCCAAATCATTACATGCTTGTTATAAACCATTTTGACTTAATAAATTTGCTTATTAGGTTTTTTGACACTGTATGTCCTATTATCTATAAACATGGAGAAAAATCCACTTCATAGAAGCAGACATTCAGAAACCTGTATTTTGCCTGTGCATTTGTCCATTTTTATGTAAATTATATGTAAATTTGAATTTTCACTAAAGTTTTTCCACTAATCTGTCTTGGAACCAAGAAGCATAGAGTGGAAAGACAAGATGCAGTTGCTAATGAGCCAGTTAAGCCATACTGCCAATCAGACATTCTTTCCTAACACCACTGGCAACAGCCTTGCCTGATTGGCTGTATGATAGAGGAGTGGGTGGAGATAAGGCATTCCCACAATGCTGTTTGGAGAAAACTGGCACTGTTCAATTGCAGAAGTTCTGGAGTCATTTGATGAAGACTGAGTTGGATTGATGTAAAAGTCGCATGAATTCTGATCTGACCGGTCAGATAGAGCTCACATTGCTGCATGTCAGACAGCATAGCATCACACATGAAAGAGGCCAAAATGTTAATTAAAACAATCAGATTGAATGAGATTTTACTGTTCACACTATCAAACAAAAACACATCTGTGTCATGCATGAAGAAAAAGATCAGATTTTGGGCCACTTTTACCTGCCTCCTATGACAGTGGGACATTTAAAGTCACTGAACTCTCCAGTACACGCCATTCTACTGCCATGTGCTTGATTTCACACATATGTTAGCAAGGGGACTGGCTGAATTAAGAGAAAGAGACTTATTCATTCAATTATTTTTATTTTTTTAAAAATTATGTCTTTGTCCTCTGAAAACAGAGAGTGCATTCTGTTATAGAGAACAATCAAATGAGAGAGAGAGAGAGAGAAAGAGGAGGAGAAAGATGGGAGTTCCTTTCAAGAGATCATGTTTGATATGTAAATGAGCATAAATAGTTATGTGTTTACAAGAACTGGTCAAAAGAAATAGGGCCACTCAGCCTAACACAGCACTGCTCCACTGAAAGCTGAATTTGATCAGCTGGCAACAGTGACTCAATAATTTGCTTGTTAAGGGGAACAATATGTATTTATGCTAATTGCCACTCTCCGTGATGCCTTTGTGGACTCCTTATTTTCACAAGCATTCAAATGTGTGCATTTAAAAAGAAGGGAGCTCAATATTTTACATCTGAGACTTGAGCAGAACACTGCTGGCAATGTGCTACTCGATTATTTAACGAGCTGTTTGTACTGTGTGTGAAAATGTGTGTGTTTAGCACTTTGGTCTGGCACTATGGTTGGAATAAAGTGGTAAGTAACACTCATGTTGAAGAGTGGGGTTTAATTCCTTAGCTGGTAATGATGTAGTACTCAAGTACAGACACAAAACATTCTTTTATTTACTCTGATTTGTCTTGGTCTTGGTAGGATATGCACTCAGACTTTTCTTGGTCTATATAGTGTTTTTAATCAGACTTGTCTTGATGTCTATAGTATATGTACTCTTAAGATTAAGATTAAGATTAAGATTAAGATTAAGTGACCCTTATTAGTCCCACAATGGGGAAATTTCACCTCCGCAATCTAACCCATCCATGCAGTGAAACACCACATACACACTAGTGAAGACACACACTAGGGCAGTGAGCACACTTGCCAGGAGCAGTGGGCAGCCCTATCCGCAGTGCCCTGGAAGCAGTTGGGGGTTAGGTGCCTTGCTCAAGGGCACCTCAGTCACAGACTGTCGGCTCAGAGGATCAAACCAAATAACATACAGACCATGACTGCCCCAACACTCCAGGGTAAAGTCACACCTGTCCATCTTGGGCAGAGGCGAGGCCTCACTGCCCGTGGCCAGTGTGGGCTGACCGCCTCAGCGACCCTTGGTCTGTATTGTATTTAGGCTCAGACTCATCTTGGTCTGGACAGTATTTGATCTCAGCCTTGTTGTGGTCTGTATTTCTTCTCAGACTTTTCTTCATCTGTATAGTATTTGAACTCACACCTGTCTTGGTTCATATAGTATTCAAACTCAGACTTGTCTTGGTCTGTATTGTATTTAAACTCAGACTCACTTTGGTCTGTATAGTATTTGAACTCAGACTTGTCTAGGTCTGTATGGTATTTGATCTCAGACTTGTCTTGTTCTATATAACACTTAATCTGACTTGTCTTTGTCTGTATGTTATTTGACCTCAGACTTGCCTTGGTCTGTATAGTATATATTGTAAGCCACTTTTCTTCGTCTGTATAGTATTTAAACCCACACTTGTCTTGGTTCATATAGTATTTGAACTCAGACTTGTCTTGGTCTGTATTGTATTTAAACTCAGACTCATTTTGGTCTGTATAGAATTTGAACTCAGACTTGTCTTGATCTGTATGGACTTTGATCTCAGACTTGCTTTGGTCTGTTTAGTATTTGAACTTAGACTTGTCTTGGTCTGTAAAGTTATTATTAATTAAGAATTATTTAAAAGCTGTTAGTTTTAGACTTGTTTTGGGCTTAATAGTATTCAGGGACATGGGAAAGTGTGTTAAGTTGAGGATGCTGATATTTTAAGCAGTGTATATGTAACGTGTATATGTAACAAATGATTTGCCTTTTTTCATTTTGCTAATTTACATCAAACAGAATGTGTCACACAGTGCTATAATGAGGTGAGTGACAAAAATATATACATCTAACTGACAAACCGCTGACTCACATCATTACTCTGCTCTATTCTGGAAGAATTTTATGCAAATGTACTGACAGGCAACCAGTCAAATTGTTGATTTATGGTGCAGTAACCGATTGCGTCATGCCCACAGCCATGTGGTGAGATTTAACATGAAAACGCAAACCAAGAGGAACTTATAAAAATGATAAAAACCTCATCATAACATTAAGCTAGGTGATTCTTTTTAAGTTTAAAAATTGATTTTAGGCCGTTTTGAGACTCAGAACTGCCTAGACTTTTTCTTTTTGTCAACCCGTGTTTGTTTTAGTGACTTCCCCAAAGTGGACAGCTGTTTTCAGCTCACTGTAAATAAAAATATGGCATTCACTTAAACAGTGCAAGGC